CAAGGAGGCTGCATAAGAAAATCCCACAATAGTGATACTAATCTTAATTATTGCAATAATATTATGTGATAAATTCACATTTATTACATCTGGTTTAATCTTTTTGCACAATGCTTTGAAGAGCCACCTTTACTAGAGGCAAAATTAAAATAAGTTATTAAAGTGTCAGTAATGAATTCCTGAATAATAGAATATGATAAACAAACATTTTATTCCTGTGGGTATTTTGCTATATCAACATTGTGAAGACTGAAATTTGCAATACAGTGAATTTACAGTTTTAGTCACCTTTTATTAAAAGCAGACATTTCTGGTTGCAGCACAAATTTTCTAGAAAATTGTGTATTTGCATTATAAATAAATTTACTTAATGATGAAAATAATTGATAATTTAGTCCTCAGACTGTGGTCATGCTTTATTCCTTTTTTTTTTCTTGCTGCTGTTTCCTGGAAAGTAAAAATAAAAATAAATGGCTAACCAGATCCGTGCTACAGACATCTAATGCTCTGGCCACCAACAGGTGCCACAGGTAAGGTGGGGGCAGGAGTGAAGCCCCATGATGTGTTGTAACAGGCAAAAAGCAGCCCACGGGATTTATTAACAAAACAAACTTATCTGCACCAGGGTCTCTGCTCCCATGTTTGCACAACAAACATGCTGAGGTTTAATCTGAGAAGAACTCAATCTTTGAGGTACTTAATAGGAGTAGTAAATTAAACAGTAGGAGCAACACTTAAAATAGGTGAACCTTCCTTTAATTAGGAATCCTTTAATTAATCAAGTTGTGTGTTTGTGTGTGTACTATGGGTGTGTGTGTGTTTCTCCACCTGGAAGCTGAAGGGCCAGCATGCTTTTAGGCGGTGCAGGCTCACATAGGCCCTATGTGCAACACATAGGATGTTTTGCGCCTCACAGTTTGATCATGTAGTTAAAAACAGTGCATGTCTTGCGTGCAATAAATAAATAGATAAATGCCTCCATAAGTTGATAGCTCTCCCAACCACCCCCGACCCTTTTTTTTTTTTTTTTTGTATCCTTCTTTTTCGGTATCAGTAATGGGAGTCAGTATCCAGGAGGAGGCGAGGGGGGTGTTTGGGGCTCCTCGCCAAGTCCTCGCCCCTCCTCCCCGGAATGCGGCACAGCTGCCTTTCAGAACCCCGCCGCTCCAGCCCATTCATACCGGAGTCCCCCCCACCCCATTCGCCCCCCCCCCCCCCCACCCCACCCCTAGTCCCGTAAAAAAAAAAAAAGTGGCTATTTATTAGAATACTTGTTTTGTATTGTTCTGCGCCACACAAAAGACGTTCATTACGATAGAAGCAAGCCCCGTTCGCAGAGAGAAACAATAACTTGGAATTGTCTGTTTTTTCCCAGAGTATAATAAATGTAATTTCTTCTTGTGTCGGCCCCTCAGTGTGTGTTGAGTGGTGGGTTTGGGCACCGGGCATGGATGGCCTTGGCACTCCAGCGGCCGCGACTGTGGTGGCTTAAATAGCGGTCTTTACACGGAGCTTTGGATTGTGGGGTTTGCGCGTGTGGATCGGGGGAAATGTCCACTTTGTCTGGAGGAACTACGAGGGGGACCATGCGTAAGTTTGCATATAATAATTTAAATAATGACGGAGGGGATTTTGAGTTCAGCTTTTTTTTGTGTATTTTTCTTAGTTTAAAATCTGTCGTTAGTTGTAGAGCTCCATGTATTTTGTTCTTATACCTGCTCAGCCCTGTTGCGCCTGCAGGTTATACTTTTATTTCAGAGCCAATAAGCCCCTCGGGAGATGCTGCATGGGAGCGCACATAGGTCTGCGCCTTCTACTAGTTGCTCTCTAATGCAGTTCAGTTTGATTTTAAAAGACTTGATTTGTCGAATATTTTCTAAAAGAAAAAATATAGCAACCTTTAGATTTTTCTGTTATTCAAACGCAATCCTTTTAAGATGGTTGGTGGCAACTAAACTGACGTGTTGCGCGTAATATGCGTGGGGGGGAGGTTCTGATCTAAACAACTTTCAATTTAGATTAACGCGCAAAACGACGCGCCGTTGTCTCGTCAGTTCGTTTATTTGATCACCAGATGACCCGCTGCCTTTTTTGTGCTCAGCACCCAATGCCTCTCCAGCCGCCGTGCGCATAATCAAACGTTGTAGTCGCATGTGGAAAAAAAAAAAAAACATATCCCGGCGCAGGTGAATTGCTTTGAAAATGAAAAGTGATAAAAATGAATAAGGAATAAAGGAGACGACAATGATTAAACTGCAGGAAAGGGCATCGACCACGCTGTAGCCGCTGCGCCCCTATAAGCGTAAAGACGCATGAGAGTTTTGTCCGTTTACAGAAAATTTGCTTTTTGTACATAGTGGGGAGAGTTTGTGTGTGAGTGTCTAGGGGGCGGGGGGTCGTGTGTTGGATAACTGCTTTGACCCCCTGGCCCCAGTCGTACACCGTCACGACGGTGCTCACACATTCTTATCCAGAAGCAGGGGCCACAAAGGAGCGTGGAGGTTTGAAAAGGAGGTTTGTTAAAAGAGGAACTGAAGAAGGGGGGCTGGAGGGTGGCAGTGGAAGTAAACAGGGGGCCACCAGGGTCCTAGTGTCGGTGTAAAAGGCTAATCTTCTATGTACAACTCCTAAATCCTCTGTCAACAGGGAGAATAAAGAGCAGTATTAATCATTACTTCCATATGACTTCATGATTGCACCCAAGAGATTAAAAAAACAACTAGCTTACAATTTTATGATAAGATTTATTTCACCAATTTTACTTTTCATGTGCATACGGTGAAAATAGCCCTTAGTTTGAATTAAAATTTAAACCGCCAAAGTTTTCAATTTTAACATTTATTGTTGCACCCTTTAGTTCTTTTGCTCCCTTTTAATTCACCGTATTTTTAAGACAATCGAACATATTAAATACAAATAGGCAATAATTTTTTTTAACGTAAACATTGTCAATTATTTGAAATGAAATACATGAACTATTTTAAACGTCAAAATGCTAAACAATCCTATTTATTTCATATTTTAAATACAGAATAACATGCATTCAATTTGGCCCATTGCTCTCTCCTCTTTTGCGCGTTTCCAGTGTGCTTTCCTGACTCTCCATCATACATTGCTATCTTCCAGTGCACGAGGCCTGAAGCCACGTGAACACCCCCCTACACACAAACACACACAATGAAAAATCCGCTGTGGGGTAGTTCACTGAGCGCTGTGACATTCCCGTTAACCCCTTTACGCAGAGACCCACGGATCGGTCCGAATGATCCCGCTTCCTCAAACCCCTCAGCAGAGAGCATCACCAACCCCTGAACTCTAATTATTTTAAAAAGAGAGCGTTAAAGGGGAAAACACCGCAAAAGGAGGATAGAAATGATTAAATCGTTAGTCTCGCCACGGGAAGTGGTATTTCGTTTTCCCTTTCAATTAGAGGCTGATTGGGCTTTTCAGAGGAGGTCAACTGTGTAATCTGGATTATGTATGCGCGCACTCTAAGACACGTGAACTGCTTCTATCTGCCACCGGCTTTCAGCAAAATCTTAAAGAAAAACCATGTTTGGCTTTAAAATAGAGCTTAATGTTAAATGTTACCATCGCCAGCAGACGGCGATACCTGCGCTTTGCCCCAGTTTCACCTCATTACGCGGCCATCCATCCTTATGAACCTCTCCTCTTAGAAGATTTACTTGGCTTTCTTTACAAAATCACTTTTGTATCATTTCCTGCTCCGAGTGCGCGCATTTTCTCTCCCTGACACATGTTATTACTGCACCTTAATTACATACCTGAAAGGGAAGCAGAGAGAGGGCGACAGAGGAGGGAAAAAGACGCTGTGAACTGGAAATTGGTTTTGGAGCGTCGGTTCAGGAGATCGGGTGAAGAAGAGTGTTATTCCTCTGGATCTGTGCATACAATACAAGGACCGAGCTGTTTAGATGTGCATTGATTAGGATGCCCTACTTCTACGACATTATGGAGAAAATGCGACCTGAAAAAAAATGCTTTTAAGAATCTAAATTGGAACAAAAGCAGTTGATTTGATTTGCTTCCAGTTCCTCCTTTTGAATGCCCGTCACTCACTGCTGGACACACCCTCAAATCATTCAATATTGAAGTATAAAAGAGGAGGCTTCCATGATTTCAAAACTATGGTCTCAACATTTTTAATGGCTAAAAAAATAGTATGGTCCAATATTTATATAATCGGCTCGTTTTCTGCCATGCTGACAATGTAAAATATTTGTTTTGGAAAGTCATGACTTTGAGCCCCCATCAGTATTATGGAAGCGCACCTTAAAATATTTACATTATATTTTCGTTTTAGTGACTATCGTTTTAGGGAAAAGAGGAAATCTGCATCTCTTAATAAATTTTATTTTCATTATTAATAGCACGACACTATTGCGACATTTGTTGCAATAATACAACTTTCAATAATAAGTGATAGCAGAGTTTTTTTTGCTTTATACTTTTATTCTTTTGTATAAGTAAGCAGAAAACACAAATAAAATTCAAGACAATACCGTTTTAATGTGTGAATTTCACAAAAATAAACAGAACATATGTCATTCGTGACAACTAATTAAATCATAACAGTTTATTTGTTATTAAATACATTTCCTAACTTATTGAACAACATGCTTGTAATAAAGTGACAATGCAAATGGCCGTTGCACCCCTAAGGATGGCTCCATCCGTGCCACCATCCAGATGCTTCTTTAAAACTTTTTTTTTTTTTTCAGGTACCTCTGCTAAGATGTCATAAATTAGAACTCTTTAAATTTGATAGAGATGTCTGACTCACTACTATCACTGACAGGAGCCACCGTCACTGCAGACAAATCCGAGTTATTTTTGTTGTTGAAGTGTCTGATAGTCTGTTTGAAAATGTTCAAATGCATCGTGCTATTTGCGGTATTGATCCTCCTCCTCCTTCTCCTCCTCTTCCTCCGTGCTACTCCATAGTCACCTGACTAAATGCCATGCAAATCATTCTGCTGCTGCAGCCCTATTGGCCGCTTCTGACTCATTTAACTGCTGTCAGTGCGCATCACATGACCGCCGCTTCAAGCAACTTCTGCAACTCCAACAAGGAAAGTGGCTCAAACGCGCATTCTGTCACGTTTGGATAAGAAGAGACTCCAAGACCGAAGCCTGAGTGAAATACTGCATGGAGAATATTTTTTTATAAATGTATTTATGCCTTCTTGGATTAATTTGCATCTGCAGTTTGTTTCATTGAGGGGTACGAATAATAATTTTGTGACTCAGTCATCCTCGGCGCACCCAGCATCAACTTGTGCGCGCCCGACCCGATCATAAAAACAGACTTTTTTTTCTCTGCTGTTGGTGAACTTTAAATCCAGGGTGAATGTATAGCATGATGATGGAGACTGACCTTCATTCCCCCGGTCCCCAAACGAACACGAGTACGGGGCCAACGGGGCCGAACGGGGGCTCCAAAGCCAACCAAGAACGCGTGAAGAGACCCATGAACGCGTTCATGGTGTGGTCCCGGGGCCAGCGGAGGAAGATGGCACAGGAGAACCCCAAGATGCACAACTCGGAGATCAGCAAGCGCCTCGGTGCTGAGTGGAAAGTGATGTCCGAGGCGGAGAAGCGTCCCTTCATCGATGAGGCGAAGCGGCTGCGTGCCATGCACATGAAGGAGCATCCGGATTACAAGTACCGGCCGCGGCGAAAGACGAAGACCCTGTTAAAGAAGGACAAATACTCACTGGCCGGCGGGCTGCTTTCCGGGCCCAGCGGTGGCGGTGGAGTCGGTTTAAGCGTCGGTATGAACTCATCCGGGGTCGGACAGAGGTTAGAGAGCCCAGGGGGTCACGGAGGATCCGCCGGTTCCGGTTACGCGCACATGAACGGCTGGGCAAACAGTGCGTACTCGGGACAGGTCGCCGCAGCAGCCGCGGCCGCTGCGATGATGCAGGAAGCGCAGCTCGCCTACAGCCAGCACCCTGGCAGCGGGGCGCACCACCATCACCACTCACACCACCACCACTCCCACAACCCGCAGCCCATGCACCGCTACGACATGACTGCCCTGCAGTACAGCCCCATCTCGAACTCTCAGAGCTACATGAATGCCTCCCCGTCCAGCTATGGCGGGATCACCTACACGCAGCACCAGGGCTCCGCCGTCTCCTCCTCGGCTGCCATGGGGACACTGGGATCGCTGGTTAAGTCGGAACCGAGCGTGAGTCCACCCGTCAGCGGCACGCACTCTCGGGGTCCCTGCCCTGGAGACTTGAGGGAGATGATAAGCATGTATTTACCAACCGGGGAGCCGGGGGACCCGTCCATGCAGAGCAGACTGCACGCCTTGCCGCAGCATTACCAGAGCGCCGCGGCTGGAGTGAACGGGACGGTCCCTCTGACGCACATTTAGACCTGACATTAAATTAACTGCAAACTGCGACTGAACACATAACCAAATAATTACCTCTTTTCTAAATAACCCCGCTCCCCAGAGCTCCATGAATTTTGTACAGAATGTTTATGATATTGTAAATGAATGGGTAAATAATATTAATCTCAGCTGTGCTCCCAAGTGGAAATATAAAACAAGAATGACGCTGAGAAATTAGTAATTGTGCTACCATCTGTTTGCTCATCACTTCACATTCTTATTTAAAGGGGGGTCGTCAGGGTTACATGCATGGGGGGGATCATTTATTTGCTTAAAATCACACATAATTTTTAAATTACGTCATTGTAAGTTATTTACAAAGTGAGAAAACATGTCATGTTCATAAGAGAGTGCTTTAAAAGATATGGAGAAGAGCATACTTTCCTTAAATATTTGTGTTCATTTTCAGACGCCTGTGTCTTAATTACTTGGAGGTCATCTTTTTATTGTAACATTCTGATTAATGTAAATTGTGAATAATTTGATTATTTCCACAGAATGACGGACAACCCGCTGTTGTAAATTAAGCGCTTTTCTGCAGCTGAAAAGCCCCTGATATTGCATTGAAGAATAATTGAATAAATTTCACAAGATGTTGCTTTGATTCCTAAAATGCGGTCTTAGATTGATTATTTATTGCCGTTTTATGACTAAAGCATTTCAGTGCAGCAAAGAAGCGATAAGTCGCTTGAAAATATTCCCGCACCTTAACATTAAAGATTTTTTGCGTATTTATTCTTTAAAATAAGATATTATTTGTTTAATTTGTCGGTTTAAGGGTTACTTTTATCAGAACTTTGCCTTGAAATAAAATAATATCATCCAATTCTTTCACATACATTCCGGGTATGTGTAGATTATACTTTTTTTTAAAACATTTTTAATATATTCTTTACCCTAAAATCAAAATATTGGTAAGAAGAAGACTGTAAATGTTTGTTTTCAGATGATCTGTGAAATTTTGCATACAGAGTGCTGAGGCCTCTGATAACCACCTGTTAATTTTGGGGATTAAAATTATTTTGTTTTTAGTTATGATATATAATTTTGATTGATTTTGTTATCCCACTACCTTATAGTCAAATTATGTGTCTTTTTTAAACGAAAGCATCATACAATATCCATAGATTCAATTTTTCATTTTTTATTTTTTTTAGAATTACAGATCTGTTCCAGACTTTTTCTCTGTCAATTTCAAAACAGTTTCTTGAAATCTATTTGGAAACCTGTCGAAAACGTGTTACATTTTTTAAATAGTTGAAACCTGTTTTGGGTCATCCGTTTAAAAACAACACCTGCAGAAAATGTGACATTCCCAGGATTATTAATGCGCTGAATTAGTTCTTTTATTCCTGGAAAGTATTCTTAAATTCTGGTTGTATTATTAGGTACTCGGCAATTAAACTCAAATTTGAACATCTACTTATACAACCTAGTTATTTTGATATAAACTTTATCACATCATACTTTTGAGAGATGTCAGTGAGCTATAGGCCCAATGGACGATACTTAATTTCTAATACAAACAAACAAACAAACAAAAAAAAAAAAACAATTTTAAGCATCAGTTGGATCAACTGAAGAACGAATAGTTTGAAATCTGACATTTTGATCATTTTATTAACTTAATTTAAGATCTATATCCTGATAATGACAAAAGATTATCCCGATTTCTTTCATCCTGTGATTTTCAAATGCTGTAATTCGTTCTGAGAGTTTTCTCCGTGTCTTCTCGTCTGACACTTGATAGCCTCAAGTCTGTAAAGTCGGGGAAAGTAAAGTGCTTGAGGCAGAGCAATCATGTAACCACAACAAGAAATGTGGGATTCATTCAACAGTTTGTGGCCGAAAGCAGAGATAAATGTGAGGAACATTAGTCCCAGATCTAAAAACTTGATGGTACTAAAGAGCTGAAGCTTTTAGGAAGATTTGGTTGTTATTGCGCACGCCTGAAGGTTACTTTAACAACTGCAGAAATATTCGTGACAAATCTGGTTCAATTAACCACGTGTTTAATTTCACACTAAGAGTGATTTTTATTTTATTTATTTTTTTCAGGAACAACGCAGAAATGATCTGACGTGATTGTGTAAAAAAGATGAAACGCGATTTTAAACTTCCAATCCTCTTAAAATAATTGAAGAAAGAAATTTGCCTTTAAGATTACTTTTTTGACAGCTGTTCACTTTTTGATTGCCATGGGCCTCGTTTCATAATGACTAATATCATGCCAATATAGGAGACATTTATGTTTCTTTTGCGTTTGAATAATCAATTCACAAATAGGCCTACTTAGTTAAAAGGGCCTATTTCACACTGATGAAGACTTGCTTGGCACGTGGATTAAACCTGTTAGGCCTCACAGTAAAGCGTGTTAAACGTCTAGATGCGCATTAATCTGTTGGAGCAAATCTAAGAGGAACAATTGAGACTTTAAATTCCAAAGCGCAAAGAAGATACATCTATGGAGAGATCTCTGCGCCAAAGAGTGCCTCCACCCGTGTGCTTTGCGTCTGTTTCCTCTCTTATCTGCTGATGTGAAGAGATGCGGATTAGACACTGAAAGCTCCGAGAGGCGGAGCGCGTCACGGCGCATCGCCAGGTTAAAAGAGGCGCGTTCTGGCAAATTTAACCCGCATAAATTACACCTTGAGGTGCAAAGAGGGCTGAGTGTAGGGTGCGACGCATACAGAGGGATTCATTTTGTGTGCAAAAGCGGTTTTTCTCGCGCGCCCAAAATGCGCGCGTGTTTGTTTGGTGGTCTGCACGCATGCTTTTAGCTGACCGGCCAATAAATCTCTCCTCCGTGCGCTGCTCTTATCTTGTAGCCACCGATATATTCCGGGCTATGAGGCCATCAGCCGCGGCGCACAATCAGTTGTTCGCAAAGCTCCGATCCCTTGCACTCCCTGTCCTAAATGGGGATAATTAGCGTCACTTTATCACGCCTCTGCATATTTTCTCCACCTCTCCCCCCTCTTTTCCTAAAAAAAATAAATAAAAAATACCAGGCAGCCTGCTCTCTGTCACAGAAGATTATGGAGACAGATTGCACAGAGTGAATGTGCCGGGCGAGATTAGCGCGGAATAGAGAACGCAGCTGGGCCAATGGATTCCTCGGAAGGGCCTTATCGTGCTATTACACGTTGACATGTTTAACAATCTTGCTGCCTCTTAATCCTGTAGTGCTTGCTCTATCTACCCACAGCTACCGTTCTGCACGCCGGCGCACAGACCTAATGCACTGAGAAGCAACGCAAATATGGCGAAAGTAAAAAAAAAATTGGCTTATTTTCCAACTTTTCCAGACAGAAAAAAACAAATGCTGTTTTATTCTCTATTTATTTTTATTTATTTATTTGACTCTCTGGTGTTGGAATTGACTCATACTGAAGTTTTCAGTAGTGAGGTGAAAATAAATTGGTTTGATAACAGCAGCAAGACTTTCAATAAGATCCTCGGATGTCTATGGGGTTTTATACACTTATAAAGGAAGCTGTGTGGTTTCTACATTTATTTGAATATATAATTTTATCTTATTTCAATTCTATTTGGTTATTTTATTTTACTTTTGAATGAAACTGTAAGATTCCAACCAATCTTTAAACTGCACTCTGTCAACAAAAACTTATTGTGGATAGTGTTTGTCATCCCCTGTGAGGAAAATCAGCAACAAGTATTAATAGTTTTATGACAAAGTCATAAAACATTAGTCATAAACTAATTGAAACCACAAATGTTGCATGTTATTTTTTCCCCCAAAAATATGAAAGGCACCAAGGCCCTTCCAAACTTATTTGTATTTATGCAATGGCTAGACAGGCACAAGGATAAAACGTTCTGATGCTATTTCACTTGAGCATTAGAACAACTGTAAAGAATGAGAGCAGACACATTTCCAAGTTTCAGTATGTTTTGTTGGCATTATTAAAGACTTCTAATGATGACATGGATGCTGAAACGTTTTTTTTCTTTAGTCCGGTTTGCCATCCATCTCCAATAGAGGAACAGTTCTAATTGAAAGCAGGCCAGCCGTGTAGGGTTTAGCCAGAATATGATTCTGAAGACCTGTGATGCATGACCCATCTTAACGAGAGGCTGAAACAAGCGATGACAAGGATAAGGATCAACTTCAGTACTTAGATGCTTTTCTTTCAATCAGCTGTAACAACTTCATACATTCCATGCAGGGCATTTTTGTAGATGACACTCAAATCCACTGTAACTTTTAAAAGAATGACATTGGTTCATATTCCATGTGCAGTTATGTTGGAGACTCTGGTTTAACTGACATATCGTCAGCCTATTTGTGGTCATTCTGTGGTGCTTAATGTGGATGTTTTGCACTTAATTGGACAGATGTGAATAACAATAAAACATGTCAATTCCAGTCTACCACAGTCCTCTTCAGGAACCAATTTTATGTTTTTTTTTTCTTTGAATTACTTTAAAACTCGGTAGTTCGGGGTGATTCTACAGAACAAAGGTAAACCAAACAAACAAACAAAAAAAAAAAAGATAAAACAAAGAAAAGAAAAAATGTTAATAAAAAACAAAACAAATAGTAGTCCTTTGAGCAAATTAGGTACAACTAACTTTACCTCACTATACCAGCCAGAAGTTACTATTATATTTCAGAGTGAAGTGCATTCATTGCAGACAGGCCATGAAATTGGCAGCCAGGATTGAAACTGTCAATTTACCTGCCACATTGGCGAGGGGCCAAAAAGACAACGCACAACACTGAGCAAGGGTTATGTTGTTGACCAATCATGTAGCCCACTGTT